CCACTCTGTGGTCCAAGAAGCCAAATCCCTGGTGACATCATCTAAGCAACCACGTGTTGGATCTCCAGGATGCACTGCTCTTAGCAGGGCCTTCACCCTTCACTGGAAGGATCAGTGAGAACTTCACCTGGGCTCTCCCCTTCACACTTGAATCCAGAGCCATGTAGTCACATTTGATCTGCTCAGGGTCACTGTACTGAGCATTTTGTGCAGATGGCCCTATTATCTTAGAAACATCCAAATGCCAAGATGACTCTGGATGAATGCTGGGAAACACTAACACTTTTAAGAGAAGGACTGTCTCCTGTTTTGAATTCCCAAAGATAGATTATGCTGGTGCAGTCTGCACAAAGTCTACTTCCATTCACCGGAAAGTCAGCTTTTGTTTTTAAGTGAGCCTTTCTTCAGAAAATTGAGGAGATTGAACACTCTAATTATGAGTTTAACTTTGAAGACAACAATGGCCACTTTTACTGTAGGGTTGGTAGAACAGTCCTCTTGTGATGGATGAATGAATGGATGATAAGACACTGTATCCCACAAAAAGCTAGAAGAAAACTATTCAGATATTTTTGGTTTTTACCACTGTTAGTAACTATTAGTAACATAATGCTACTGACCGGTGCAAAATGCATTTAACTCTGGCTAGAAACTGAAGTTTGGTTATGCTTAGGTGGTATAAGTGTCTCTGTCAAGATTAGTCTTCTATGCCCTAGTTTTTCAAAGGATAAGCTATTTATACTAGTGCACCTTCCTCAAACTTTTTGGAAAACTTGTTTCACCCTTGATCTGAAATGGGTTAAAAAAGGTTCAGAAAATTCTGTAAATGTGGCCTTTAGAATATTTCAGGAATTACTGAATTCTTTCTATATTTTAGTTACAAGAAGCATAGGAATACAAAGCTTAACTCACCCATAAATTTGGACTTAGGAGTAGTGCTTCCATAGTATTGCTGAGAAATATTTTCATCTATATTTACCATATTGGTTGTGATGATTGAAGCACTTGAAGAGAGAGAATTTTAATAAAATACTGGCTCATTTCAACCAACAGCAACCATCCTTCATTAAAAGGGAACTGTTTCAGGGTTGTGGACACAAAACCTACATTAAATGAAAACTTAACTTCTACAGAAATTGAGGGCTTTAGATCCTTCAGGAAAATCTGCTGTTTGATACAGAGATGTTGGGGGTGTGATCTTCCTGAGTCCTGTAATAAATGATTGTCTGTAGAATGATCATATTTTGTAAGCGGACTGGATTAGGTCACTTGTAGTTTTTGTAAATTTGTAATTTGAGAGCAGTGGCTTGTCTAAATTTGCAGTTATTTGGTCTCCAGTAACAGACATTTTATAGCCCACATCCAGTCACAATTGAGACAGGGAAGCTTGCCAGCAATTAGTTACTTCTTTGTAATTAAGGAGCCACAAATAATGTTCCTTTTGGTGTGTTCAGAGTCAAACTTTCGTAGCACTTTTAGAGTACATGAATTCAAAAAGAAAACAGCCTGACAATATAGTTAGTTTTAGTTAAGCGGATGAGAAGTTCTGAGTTTTCATCCTATGGATAAGCACTTCCATAACACCAAAGTGGAAAAAAAATCTTTGTTTGTTTTTTTCAGTACAGTTGTTAAGTAGCAGAGTAAAAATACATTCACATCTTTTTTTTTTTTTAAACTGAATGCTTGTAACATTGTTGGAGTTGGAAAAGATTTTTAACTAGTGAAAGGCCTGATTTTTTTATTTTGTCTAAACAGCTCATGGTCAATATGTGCCCAGTTTAGATTGGAATATCTCAGATGATAGTGGTTACAAATCTTGTTGGTTCTAATTAGTTTCTGATATGAAAAATGCCTTTTTCTGACAACAGTTTATGCAGATTACTGCTTTTGTCCTTGGCAATGCATGAAAAATAATCATTCATTGAGCTTCTTACATATTTATAGAAACACCGCTTCTTCATAATGATCTTTTTCGATTTGCCTATTTCTTTTAACTTTTAGTCTCTCTCCTCTGAACTTGTTAATTTCCCTGGTATGATTTTTCCTTGCAAACAACTTGTCCCCAAGTAAAATATGCACCTTGTTTTTTGGAAGGCATAGTGTAAGAAAAAAAAAGCTATTTCCAGAGTCATAGCTGACTGTGTGACATAGAGTAAGTCCTTCTGGGAACATAGCGTTTTCCTTATATGACAGGAAGTTCCTGCTG